TTTTATTCGCTGCATATTACGCTTTTCTATAGATTATTCAAGCAATTCTGGAATGAAAACAATATTTAGTTTAGTCAAAAATTTTTGTCGTCAGAATCATTACATCGAATTTTTGGTACTCTTTTCACGCTCCATCACAATGGCTATGATAAACTTTATCAATAGTATTGTCTCTTGGTGATTGCAGTAGACCGTAAACTGACGCATCAAATTATAGGTATGAGACTAGCAGGCAACGGCCCTCCGGAGGTGGCACTGGTGGCAGTGGTGTTGGCGGCCTTTCAGGATTGTGTCCAAAACTGGCCACATCCACGACCAACGCAGGAAGTAGCGGTCAAAGTAATATCTCTTTGGGCCACCACTTAGCCCCTTCGGACAGTTCGATGTCGAACTCGTCTCAAAAGAGTGGTCGACGTCAGCGAAAAGTTACTATTAATTCCCAGCCAACTTCTTGTGGTGGTAATTCCATCGACAGGAAGGTCAGTTTGCTTACATTTTATTTATTTTATGTATTTGTCATGCTCAAACCAATGTGACCTTTTTAACGAGTACCCATGTAATTGTTAAAGGACGCATAAAGAAGTCGAGTTAGTAAGCAAAATGATAACTAGAAAGATTTTTAACGATTGGTTGAGATTAAATTTGTTAAAGAGTTAAATGACTTTATTAGTTAAGGTTTAATCGAGTGGAAAATGGTTCACAGTCACCACCGACGTCGGTAACAAAAAACGGAATCTCATCGAATTCGCAGTCGACGAGGCAAAAGAATAACACCCTGGATCCTGTTGAAAAAAATTCTTTCGTATCATCCTGTGATCATGAAAATAATCACAATTTTAGTGATGCAGAGGAGGCAATTGATGCTACGGAAAATCGTTCGAGGATGTCAGGTTGGTCTAATAGCTTTTTTAATAGTTTTTTTTTTTTTCTCCAACATTTAATAACAGACAAAACAAATTTTTTCGCCCAGGCTCCAGCACGCCTTTCACTCCAGTGGTAAAGAATAACCCTAGAAAAGTAAGTAAAGAGGAAAAGACTGCACACAAAACTATGCACTCGGCGAATCCCGAGTCGAAAGAGGATTGCGATGGTAGCAGCCGTAAGCTAGCGTCAGATCAATCGCGGGACGGGCACACTTCGACAGAGGACATTATCCAGAGTTTCGATGCGCCCGTTTCTACGAAAAAGAAGCCAAACGCGGACGACATTGTGTCAGTTCGCGAAAATAAACGGAAAGCCTCCGTTTACGCTCTAGTTAACTTCGATACTAATAAGTGTAGTAGTGCCAATAGAAGATCAAATTTTAAACAAGATAATTCTAATGACAGTTCTCAGAAGGATTCGGATGTTGTTTTAGAAATTCCTCGTAGTAATCAAAATGATCAAAGGTAAATGAACCAAACAAAAATGTTTTTTTTTTTCTCTTTGAGACTATTCTTTTGGTACTTGAATAATAAATTAATTTTTTTGGAAATAGCGAATCGAACGAAAGTAGTACGCCGTCAACTTCGAGAAAAACGTCAAGTTCCGAGTTCAAATGTAAAAAAGTATCGACAGATGTAATGGACTCAAACAAGAGTAGTGAGAGCATTTTAGAAAATAACGATAATATAAATAGCGAACAAATGAAAAATTCTCGATTTATAACGTCCAGCGTGATGGGCGAATCGATAGACTTAGAGAGTAAGGAATTCCGAGATGAGTGTGAGAAGAGTAGCGAGGTTGAGGGAGAAGTGACCATATACGACGATGATAATGGCACGAGCATCAGTGACATAGTCGCGACCCAGGCGCTTCACGAATCTCTTAGCAAAATGGGTAAGGTGCCGCCGCCGGGTCCCGAAATTCAGATTGAGGAGATAAAAGATATGCCAAAAACAGAGGATGAAGCTAGTTCAAAGGTCGCTGTGGTGCACGATGAAACAGTCGAGGGATTCATTGGGCCACTTTTAGATGAGAATTTCAAAGTCGACGAAAAATTAGAGCAAAAGACAATGGCAATAGATGACATGAGAAATTTATTGGTTAAAGCTACAGTCGAAGACGACGACGACGAGGAGAAAGCTGTGGAGATTTCTCCAGACCAAAGGTTTTTGAAATTTGAGGAGGAGATAGGCCGCGGTAGTTTCAAAACTGTTTATAAAGGCCTAGATACACAGACTGGCGTTGCCGTCGCCTGGTGTGAATTACAGGTAATTTCAAGCCTTAATTTGGCCATATGAAACATTCTTGTCAACTTGCTTATTAATATTGCGTTAATAATTTTTTTAGGAGAAAAAACTAAACAAAGTAGAAAGACTGAGGTTTCGAGAAGAAGCTGAAATGTTGAAGGGGTTGCAGCATCCAAATATAGTTAGATTTTATGACTACTGGGAGGTGACACTCACGAGACGAAAATATATTGTTTTAGTAACAGAACTCATGACTTCTGGCACTTTGAAGACGTACGTATTTACTACTTTTGATCATTTATACAATTCTAAATAAAATGATAATAATAATGATGATTATTATAATGACATTCGAAAATTCGACACAGATATTTGCGGAGATTCAAAAAAATAATACCCAAACTTGTGAAATCTTGGTGTCGGCAAATATTAAAAGGTCTCGCGTTTCTTCATTCGAGATCGCCACCAATCATACATCGTGACTTAAAATGCGATAATATTTTTATTACCGGACCAACGGGCTGTGTGAAAATTGGCGATCTTGGTCTAGCGACTCTTAAAAATCGCAGTTTCGCCAAGAGTGTTATTGGTACGCCGGAATTCATGGCACCAGAAATGTACGAAGAGCACTACGACGAGTCAGTTGACGTTTATGCTTTTGGTATGTGCATGCTTGAAATGGCTACTAGCGAGTATCCATATTCTGAATGTACTGGTCCCGCACAAATCTACAAGCGAGTCGTTTCGGTTAGTTCAACAATATTGCTCTACAATATTTTATTTCAATTTTCGATGAATAAATTTAATAAAGTATCTTCTTACAGGGTGTTAAGCCTCAGAGTTATGATAAAGTAGAGAACCCAGAAGTGCGTGAGATAATCGAAATGTGCATACGACTGAAGAAAGAGGAGAGGCCGTTGGTGAAGGATCTTCTGAATCACGAATTTTTCGCAGATGATGTAGGTCTGAAGTTAGAGATGGTATCGCGTGATACTGCAGTGGCTGAGGCCGAGTTATCGCGTGTAGAGTTTCGCTTGCGAGTATTAGATCCAAAAAAGCGCAGCAATAAGCACAAAGAAAATGAAGCGATTCAATTTGATTTTGACATCGAAGGTGATGATGCAGAGGAAGTGGCATCCGAAATGGCCAAATCGAGCCTTATTCTAGAAGAAGACGCTAAAACTGTAGCTAAGATGTTGAAATCACAAATTGTAGCTTTGAAGAAGGAAAGAGAAGAGAGAAAGGTGAAGGAAGAGAAAGAAAGAAAATTAAAAGAGGAAAAGGAAAGGCATGATGCAGAGGCTAATGCTGCTAACGAGCTTTTACTGCAACAAATGCAAGCTCAACAGCATCAACAACAACAACAGCAGCAGCAGCAGCAACAGACTCAGCAGGTTCAGTCCGGTATTAGTATTCAACAAGTGCAAAACACTGTGCAAATTCAACATAGCCTGCAGCCACAGTCAGTGCAAATGGTACAGCAGCAGCCAATGTTGCAGCAGCAGCAGCAAACGTCGGTAATGCAACCACAGCAAGCTCAGCAAATTCAACAGATGAATCAGTCACAACAACAACAGCAGCAGCAGCAGCAGCAACAACAACAACAACAACAATCTCAGCAGCAGGTTCAATATCAGCAACAGCAGCAGTACCAGCAACTCACTCAAGTGGCCCAAACATTAAGTGCTAACTCATCTCAGTGTTCCACTCCACAGGCTGTTCCTACTCAATCGCCTTTTCCTCAAGTAACTCAACAACAGTTGCAGCAGCAGTACATGCAGCTGAAACAAATGGGTATTGCTCAACAGTTGTCACATCCTCAGCAGCAAATACAAATACCGCAAATACAGCAAACTATTCAGTATACGCAAACGCAAGTGCAACATGTTCAGCAAATACACCAGAATCCTATCTCCGGTTCGCCTGCCGTTTCCAATATCCAAGGTCAGCAGTTTTACCATCAGGGTGCTGCCACAATGACAGCTTATCCGACTTCCCAAATGTATTCGCCGAATGTGTCGCAACAAATGTTTCATGGATACTCAACGGGCTCTACCGGCGGACACATAGATGTTTTGTCGAATCAGCAACCCCAGCAAGTCTATGCTACGCATCCTAATCAAGCGACGAACAACTCTGTTGCCACTTCAATCGGTTACATGCAGCCAATGCCCGTACAGGTTTCGTTGCCCCAACAAGCTGCTAGTGTGCCAAATTCTATTACTGGGACTCCACCTGTCCAAACGATACAGGTAAGCTGGCTCAAAACTTCCATCTACTTATAAAGTATCATAAATATTACTCTATGCCGTAATATGTACGTTTTTTTTACAAAATATGCTTACCTTGAATTGTAATTATTTACAATCGTTATTTTAACTTTCTCTAACAGACGTCAACAATGCCTCAAACAATTCAATCAACTCCGGCTCTGCTCACAAATGGAACTCATCAATCTCAACCGCAACAGAATATTGTCATGCAAATGCAGTATCCACAAGGGGCTAACGTGGTGACTTCTGCAAATCAAATAACCCAAAATTTAAATCTAGTCTCGCAAGGATCAAATACACAGCCACAACAACAACAACCTATGCAAATGCAATCACAACAAGCATCTGCCCAACACCAAATGCCTATGCAGCAGCAAGCACAAATTCAGCAGCAGGTCATGTCTCAACAACAACAGGCACCGATGCAGCAGCAGACCATGCCTCCACCGCAACAGGCATCAATGTCGCAGCAGACTATACCTCAACAACAACAGCAACAACAGGCACCGATACAGCAGCAAGCCATGCCTCAACAGCAGGTATCGATGCAGCAGCAGGCCTTGCCCCAACAACAACAACAACAACAGCAGGCACCGATGCAGCAGCAGGCCATGCCTCAACAACAGGCGCCGATGCAGCATCATACCATGTCCCAACAACAACAACAGCATGCACAGATGCAGCAGCAGACTATGCCTCAACAACAACAAGCACCGATGCAGCAGCAGGCCATGCCGCAGCAGCAATTGCCTCTGCAGCAGCACATACAAATGCATCAGCAATCACCTATTCAGCAACAAAATTTTCAACAAAATACAGAGAATATAATACATCAGCAGCCACATATTCAGAAACAAGCGTCTCTGCAACAACAAAATTTCCAACAAAATACAGAAACTATAATGCATCAGCAGCAGCAGTCTTCTATGCAGCAACAAAATTTTCAACAAAATGCAGAAACTATAATACATCAGCAGCCACCCATTCAGCAACAGCCTTCTCTTCAGCAACACAGTTTTCAACAAAACGCAGAGGCTATGATGCATCAGCAGCCACCTATTCAACAACAAAATTTCCAACACAATACAGAGGCTATGATGCATCAGCAGCAACCTATTCAGCAACAACCTTCTCTTCAACAACAAAATTTCCAGCAAAATGCAGAAAACATGATGCATCAGCAGCCAACTATTCAGCAACAATCTTCTCTTCAACAACAAAATTTCCAGCAAAATGCAGAGAATATGATGCATCAGCAGCAACCTATTCAGCAACAACCATCTCTTCAGCAACAAAATTTTCAACAAAATACAGAGAGTATGTTGCAGCAGCAGACGATGCCTCAACAACAGATTATACCTCAACAGCCTCAGCAATTACCGTTGCAGCAGCACGTGCAAGTGCATCAACAGTCACCTATTCAGCAACAGCCTTCTCTTCAACAACACAGTTTTCAACAAAATACAGAGACTATTATAGTAGAAAGGACTGTTATAAAGCAAGAATCGTTTGAGCCTCAAGTACCAAATACAGTACCACTGGAAAATGTCGTCAACATTTTACAGGAAAATCACATATTGTCCAACTATATACCTGGAGCAGTAGATGGGTAAGGAAATACATTTTAGCATCCATATTTCAAATATTATCTTGAGGTTTATATTTTTGAAAATCGTATTTTAGTTACTCATCTGAAGTGGCTGAAAGTTCAGTAACCATGGCTGCAACAGAAAAGGCTAAAGTCAAACGATCTGGTACAAAACGAAAGAAACCAGGAATCAAATTAACAGTTCTTTCGGTCAGTGACGTGGAAGGACAAGTTGTATCTGTTGAATGTCAGCTGGATACCAGTAAGCAAAAAACCGTCACTTTCAAATTCGATCGAGACGACATGGTGCCGGCCGATATAGCCAACAATTTGGTAATTACTGATTCACCTTTTTATAAATAATAAACTTATAAATATCTGATTCTAAATTAGTATACTTTTTGTAGGTGGCTAAGAATTTGCTACCACAATCTCAGCGTGAAACTTTCATTGATCTGATAGAAGACATTGTGAGGCAGTTGCGACTTGATCCATCCTTGAGTCTGCCTCTAGTCGCTCACGGACCTCCGGATCAATCTGCTGGTGGCAGTCCTGTCACGAGCCGTAGACCGCGAGAACGTGATCATAGTCTCGATACTTCGAAGGTACATGACTTTTTTTTTCTCTATAGTTCTAGCTCTGTCATTTCGTATCTTCACAAGTGAAAGCCACAAAAGTTGAATTAACATGAGAAAAAATATTTAGAATTTGGTAAAATGTTAGACATTCGAAAATTCGTTATGTAAATTTGCCGTGTGTGATTCTGAACGCAGCAGGTGAGACATGGCTCGCTAACGCGGCAAAGCAGCCACCGCTCCTCGTACAAAATTCATCGTAGGCACCGCTCGGTGAGTTCTCACTCCTCTCCTTTCTTTTCTTTACTAAAACCTCCTCTTTTCTTTTTACTTCTGTGTTTCTTGTTTCGATACAATTTTCATCAGTGGTACAAGAGAGTCAGTGCTAGATTTTTTATTTTCAGTGTCGTATATTTGTTTACATAAGTCGATTTTAATCTTATTTTATAGGTGATTGGCAGAGCTGTTTTCTATTTTTTCTTATTTTATCGATTCGATAAAATTACGTTTTATTTATTTATTTTTTTTCAGTTATTTACCTAATGATGCAGATAAGAGAGGATGATGATTTAATTTTTGTTTGTTTTGCATGATTAAAATCTTATTATTTTTAGTTTTAGAGTATTTGTATTTGTCAAAGCAGATCTACTACGACCATTGGCCTTCAGGAGATCAGTTTTATTTGGATTAATGTTTTCGCTTGCACTTAATTTAAGTTATGTGTTTTTAACCAGACTTGTATGATTTTTTGATTTGCTTTTTATTCTTTGTCACATAGAAAAAAAAGTTTCTTATTACCTGTGGCAAGAAACTTATAACTGTATACATCGTTTGCTAAGTGTCTATTATCAGTCCAAGTAGTAAAAGTCCAATATATCTCACGCATTCTAAGAATATCACCTGATGCGTCTTTAAATACTTTTGACTCATTCAAAAATTTTTTTTTTTCTTTACAGAGAGATGACACTTCAAATGCGTCTCCGCCAACAAAAATGCTGCCAATAGACCAGATAATCTCGCAAATTACGAACTCCGGGCTTACAGAAAAACAACAGCCACCGCAAGCGGTTACAACTCCAACATCGACGCATCCAGCTGAAGTACCTCAACCACCACCTCCAAGTGTGTCGGAGTCAACCGAAGTATCAAGACGTTCTTCTACCTCAACACAGAATACGACAGACACTTTGACACCAACAAATCCTATCGACGTGTTGGACAATCACGAGAGTCTGACCTCTGCCACATCGGCTGCAACTGTTGTTGAAGATGAGATTCAAGAGGTTAAAACTGATACGACCGTTGTAGATCCATTGCAGGAGACTCCCTCAAGCCAGTCACAGGAAATTAGTGTTACAGCTCAGATAGATGAAACAATCTCTTCAGCAGATACTGCAAAGGAAGACACTAGCCAAAATCAACAAAATTCTCATGATGATAGTGTATGTAAGGATATGGATGATGCATCCACGAAATTGGACATGCCACCAATGCGGAAAATTTCGCGGTTCCTCGTTAGTCCCGTAGTAGAGCAGAGATCTGTTGTCTCTGGAGGTGAAACTACTATTCAACACGAGGTTGTCGAGCAACCAACTGTGATATCACAGCACAACGCTGTCAGTTCTGAAACTTCTGTGATTGTTAGTGGCATTGATCAAGCTGCTAAGATGTCGATTGAGGAAATAGATACTGGGGTAAGAAACATTACATTAATTTCCATTGTTGTGAACGTTCGATTGAGAATTAAAATTTTAATTGCAGCAGCTCCAACAGACAGCGGTTCAGCAGCAACAGTACCAAGCGATGCAGGTGGTTCAGAATGCCAGTCAGATTCAGATTGATGCAAGCCAAGTACAGCAACTAGCTACCACTCAAGTGCAGCAGGTAGCTACTCAAGTCACCTCCGTCAATTATCCGAGCCAAATGACACAATCTCAAGAAATGGATTCGATGATGCAAAATCAACCAAGTATCCCTGCTGCCGATGTTCAGCAAATTATCACTACGGTGCCAGTAGCAGTACAGAGTCAAAGAATCATTCAGCAGCAGGTCGTAGTGCAGGCACAGCAGGAAATTTTATCGCAATCTCAAATGCAGCAGACTAATGTTCAAGCTTCGATCCAGCATCTTCAGTCAAATAATGACGAAAGATACCGCAAAATATCAAATATATCGAGCAACTCGAACGTTTCGACTGACTCCCAGCAGTCTGATCCATCCAGCACGACAATCGTGCCAAACCAACAAGTGCAACAAGTATACACGTCTCAGCAGCAGGAAATAATTCCTAATGGTATTGTCGCACCTACCGGACTCGTTGATATGTCTCAGCAAATGTCGCAACAAACGCTCGTACATCCTACAGTTGTGCAAACAATGGTTGCTCCACTACCAGCTTCGTGCACCCCTATTCCTGCTCAAGCTGCAGTCGTAACGACAGAAACCGTACCAAAGATCAAAGCAAAGGAGGTGTCGTCAACTTTGCCAGACCTCGCACAGAATCTTGCCAACATTTTGTCCAATCCAAAGTCCAAGTCAACCCATATGACCAGTCAAGGTCACGAAGCGATTCCTAATCCGGCAATAATACAGCAGACATTGCATTCGGAACAATTCTTTCAGCCCATACAGCCAGAGGTTTGTTTGCAGAGCTTGCAAATTCAGCAGCAGCAGGTTCAGCAAAATGTGCAACAGGTAATAAGAAAGTTGCACCATCTAGGAAATACGTATTGGGTAATTTTTATTATTTGTAGTTGTGTATGTGTGTGCTTTTTTTTTTTTACTTTTAATTCATTGTTATTAATGAGATTTTTATAGCTGAAAAGAAAGGAAGAAAAAAGAGCCATTTCTTTTGTTGAAAATTTATGAGGTCAAGATTCGATAATTTTTATAACTTAAAACATTTTATTTTTTTGGTTTTTTTTATAAATATGTATGCATTCAAAAGTAGAATTAGATATATTTTAATGAGATTGAATTAATTTAGAAGTAGAATTAGTGCATCATTTATCACTTGATTAATTAATCATTAGAATTTGTATGTAGTTAACGTTAAGTCATATCTGTAAAAGCAAGCATTATTAACGGTTATTTTTTATTTTTTTTTTTTTATTAACTAGGTAATTCAAAACCAACCAGTTTTCACATCAAACATTCCAACACAAGCTCAAGTAATCCAGCAGTCAGGATTAGTCCAGACCGTGCCTCAAGCCAGTATATCGCATCCTATGGATCCTCAACTCCAGCCGCAAATGGTTCATAACCATCAGCCTAGTATGCACCCTTCGGGTACAATTCAAGGCCAGTGGGTCGTTCCTTCTTATGGAACAGCACTACCTGGACAAAACGTCATTCAAATGCAACCTGTTCAGCACGTCCAGCTAATTCAGAATCAAGCAACCATGCAACACCACATGCAAATGCCCGTCCAGATGCAGCCTCCACCCACTCAAATGCTAATACAACAAAACATGCCTGAACATGTAGATCACGTGAAAATTGTGGAACTACATAATTTACAACTGCAATTTCCAGAACAAAAACAAATCACGCCTGGTTCAGCTAAAGTGGACAGTGACGTGAATTCCGAGTCCAATGTTAGTAGGCGTACGAGTTCTGATTGTCAAGTGCTTTCCTCGGAGAACGAGTACTCGAGTCACGATATAACTCCAGAACATACGCTCGTCGAGTCATCGCAGGAGACTGCTAATTATCAGCAAAGATTGATGCGTGAACAACATCGGAAGCTAAGCCATCAGAATTCTCTGGACAAGCAGCAACAGCAGCAACCTCCTTTGGAAAGCATTTATACTAGTGTGCCAGGAGGACCGCAAACGATAGCCGATCTGCAGCAGAAATTGGTTCAGCTAACTTGTCACCCGTCAGAGTTGAATGTGAGTACGCCACCAATCAGTCACCCGGTGACACCTCAGGCATATCAAGGTGGTTTGCAAGATTCACACATGCATAGCTTGCAACAAAAGCTCAGCACTGTACCTGGTGTTCCGGTAACTAACTTCCATTCGTTGGTTAGTATAGTGATTATATGCAAATGTAACTCCTGATTTTTTTAAGTTTTACAATATTTAACGAAACAAAAAACATTTTTCAAGGTTCCCTTATCGCCTCAGTCTACAATCCATTCTGGTTGCTCCATTAATACTGGAGACACCAATAACGGGATTGATGGTTCTGCGGTCGGGACAGCGGCGGAACAGGCTATGCTCTACAACACATTTTCACAAAATGTACGCACATGAGCGATAGTTGAAAAAAAAAATTTATACTTTTGAAAATCATTTTACTGACAGTTCCTTAAAATTTGTAGAGCACCATCGATCTCGATAGTCCAACACCACCGGCAGTCAGCAGTCAAACTAGCCAAGAGATGGCAAGTCCGAGCAAAGAAAATGCCAAGACTCGTGCATTGAGGCCTGGCTCTCGACTGCTGGAACTTGAGCACGAGCTTGCTAAGATTCACCAAAAGTCAACGAATGTGATAGCAACGTCATCGACCGCAAGTGTTATGAACGTCCCAGTTGCTACAGTATACTCCAGTCAGACGCAGAACGCACTATATCAGCAGCAACAACAACAATCTCAAACGCTGATCTCAGCTGGTGGTGTTCCTCTGGTTAGTAGCGTGCCAGTGGCTACTGTTGCGCCTAGTGTTGTCACTCCACTTGCTAATAATGAAACCTCGATTCAGTATGATCATCAAGAATCACCAGTTACATCTACCGAGGTAATTAATCTTATTCTTTTTTAGATGTATATTTATACATATATATATATACTTACGATTGACCGACAATATTTTTATAGCGTATCACACTTCAACAACCTGCGAGAAAAATTTCGAGGTTCATGGTATCAAAAGTGGCTGGTCCACCTGCAAGTGAAGCGTCGACTTCGCAAAGTCACAGTACAGACGATAACAAAACTATCGAGAACAGGTCGAGTGCAGTCGCACATCATACTGATGAGCATTTAGGTTAATATTATTCATAACTTTTATTTTTAACGGTATGTTGTATCTAGTAATAAAACGAACTTGAACGTAATTTTTTTTTTTTAGTTGGTACAACACCAATGCAAATGTTACATAGTCGAGAAAGTTCTGTTCCGCCAATTCAAAACTCCATTTCACATAGCTCATCATCTACAGAGGTAACTAAGTCTTGAAGTTTTATATTTTGGTAGAAAATAACTTTTCACCCTTATTATTTGCAGCAATATGATAAAGAGGAAAGATTCCCATCATTAACACCAAGTGAAGAATATCAGCTTCTGATTAAACGGTAATACACATAACATAACGGTAATATACATAAAATTTAAATTAAACTAACTAATAATCATTTAAACACTAATGTCAGGCAAACAATGGAACTCGAAACCCTACAGAGGAGACATCGGGAAGAGTTAGAACGTTTTCAGCAGCATCAATTGCAATTACTGATACAACGGCAACAGCAGGCTACCGCATTTCAACACCCGATGCTCTATCATACCATAACAGGTGTGTTCAGTTAAGTTAAAATTTTCAAGAAATCTGTATTACAATGCTATTCGTGCAGGGCAAACACGACTGCCGGGCCTGGAGGACTACATAATGTTCAGTCCGGCAACGCAGACTCCGATGCAGCGAAAAATGAGTTATTCCCCGGACACCGAGGAGACGTTGCGGCTGGCTACGCAGAAGCTGAAGCAGCCGACGGCTGGGGTGCAGGGATCCGGTGGGCCCTCGGCTACGATACCCCATGCATACGTCATACCTGTGCCAATAGTGCCTTCGGATAATCTTCAGAACATCTCGACTGCTAGTGAGATGCCTGACCCAGCAGCAGTAGCTGGCATGCTCGGCTCAACGAATGGCCCGACGACACCCCAGATCATCGGGCAGCAGCCGCAGTATCAGTTTATTCCAACGACACTGCCGGACTCCAACACGCAAGTGCGTATTGTGTTAATCTTTACATTTCTGACTCAATAATGCTAGACTTTTGTTGACCAATTGTTTGCAAATCGCGTTACAGGGAAGCTCGGCGGGTACTCTAGTCACAAGTGCGTTAACCGCCAGTACAGCGGGCTCGAGCGGCTATATAACCTACCACGAGCCAGCACTGCAAACCTTCAGTTACGCGTCACCTGGGGGTTTCTTCCTGCCTGCGGGCTACCGGCTGATTTATGCGCCGACACAGTCAAACTCGATGGCTCCGACGACATCGACCGTACCGACACCCCAGATACAGCCAACGACCCCAGCTACGCCTCAGATGGGTGGTCACGATGGCACGCCGCCAGGTGAACCTCAGCACTACGAGGCTGCGGCTGGTTCGCAACAGCCCGAGTAGAAAGGCAGGAAAATTGTAATATATGTAACGCTCCAGTGTCAAAGAGAATTTTCTCTTGTTTCTTGTAAAACAACACTCAAATTAAAGTTTCATAAACCGTAACTCTGTGTGTGTGCAAAAAAAAGCTCGTGAGTGCGTGGCGTGTAATCTATGTGTGTACGTATTCGTCTGTTTCCCATTCATACGTCTGCTGCTGCAGTAAAGCATCTGTGTGTGTAAGTTCCAGGTGCGCTTAGAGTTTTTATATGTCTGGTGATAAAAAGAAGAAACAAAATAACTAAAAAATGAAAAAAAAAATATATATAGAAGAGAAGGAATAATCAGCCCTCTATAATATGCGTTTTTTTGACATTTGGTATGCTGCACATTTCGATTGTGTATCGGCCAACGTAATGAAATTTATAAGAAAATGAATTTTTTTTGTTCTTATATTTATTTGATTTTTTTTTTTTTTTAATAAATTGCAAAAAATATAATTAATGAACTTGTCTTGATGAAATTTTTTTATTAGATTAATTTTCGTGGGTAATTTCAAAACTAATTTGAAGTTATATGTCTGCCATTGTTTACTTCCTTGAACTTGGAAAAACGCTTATCGTTTTAACATATTTGTTCGTTGATCATGATATTTTTATACAATTGAGAAATCGTGCGTTGCGAAAAGTTTTTTTTTTATATTTATTTTACACCAAATATATAATATATGATGACTCAGATCGTCTGCTTCTGCTATTTGCTGTTGATAAAATAATGGTTGTTTACTCCGCTGTTGTTACGATATACGTAACGATATATTTAAGAAACAGCTCATCTGTATATAGCCAAGTGTCAAACATGTGCCGCTGTGTAACGATAAATGTGGCTGAAAGAAAAAACGGCAGTGAATTGTGGAGTAATCGAAAAAAAATTAAAATACTTGTAGCTAATGTTAACTGTGTAAACTGGATGTAGAGGCCTTTTTCTATTAGATGTATACTTGTGATCGTAAATTCGGATGTAGAGTACGCATGTGTGCGAGTGATATGGTTGAACGTGATAAAGTGAGAAAATTAGAAGAAAAAATACGAAGAATAATGATAAACTAAATATAGTGATATCAAGTGACTTTTTGTAACGTCGCTTTTTTCATCTAAAGGCCTCAGCTAGTCGTACAATTGAAATGAAAAATGTGTTTATTCTGCTTAATATTACACAAGTAGTTATTAACGCGCGAGTATAGAATGGTGGAGAGAGAGATAGAGAGAGAGTGAGTCAATTTATCCATCATCTATTAGATGAAGGAAATGAACAATGACGAAAGGAAACAAAAAGAATTTTGCTTTTTTTTTCGTTTATAATCATGAGCTTTAATATTTCATTTTTTTCATTTCAATTAAGTGGAAACAAATATTTTTCACTAGAGCGAAAAAAATTTTTCCACGTAAATCTTCGTCCTTTTTGCTTCCTTTTATTACTTAAAATCTGTCAGCTAGCTTATGAGTCTTCCCGCAGCTTGTAATGTCGAATAATAATTTTTGAATACGTAAGCAAACAGAATCGTTTCATGCTCTGTGTTTTCTCGTATTATTCTTATTTTTATGATTTTATCATTGTTATTACACTATTATTAGTATTACACCACCACCATTATCATCAATACCATTGTCATCACTATCGTTATTATTATTTTTATTATTATTATTATTAAGTTGGTACAACACCAATGC